TTATGTCGAAATTTTCTTCCTCTTCTTTTCTCATGTAGATTTTTTTTCCATATTCTTTTCTCCTGTTGAAGTTTTCATATTTTTTTCTCATGTTGAATTTTTTTTGTTTGTTGATTTTTTCTTCTTTTTCTCATGCAGAAGTTTTCTTCTTTTCTCATGTAGAACTTTTTTTTTTCTTTTCTCTTGTTGAAGTTTTCTTATTTTTTTCTCATGCAGAAGTTCTCTTCTTTTCTCGTGCAGACGTTTTTTTTTTCTTATTTTCTCATGTAGACGTGTTTTTTCTTCTTTTCTCATGTAGAACTTCTTTCTTCTTCTCTCCTCATGTAGAATTTTTTTCTTCTTCTTTTCTCATGTAGTTTTTTGGTCGTCTTTTCTCATGTAGGAGTTTTTAAAATAAATTCTGCTACATATTTGATTATATAAAACAAATTTAAAAAACTGTCAATATGACTTCAAGTTTCATAATTACTATCGATAAAAATAAAGACATATTTGACTCATGTATATTTTTACAATCATATGAACCATTTGCAATATTTGTCGTACTAGAGGGTGGTTTCTCTCTGTTCAACTTTTGTTGTTAGATGTTATTTTATCTTCCTTTACAATCTCTAGTTAAAAACTTGGGTATAGTATTTGTTAACGGTGCATGTGTTTAAAACACTAAAGGTGGTTTAGGAAGAGTGATCATTTTTTTTAAAGATTGTTTCCCCCAAACAACATCGATGAATTTCAATTTAATGTAGGAGGACTGTATTAAAGAACAGGAAGCTTTAAAAGTTCACTCAAAGACATTGAGCATGTCTGCCCTGATGCCCTGGCATACTAAACTTACTAGACAGTGATTAGGTAAAGGTATAAAAAAAATCAGAGAATCAATTTTTAAAACCGGTTTGGCGTCTTTCAAAGTCAAGTTTAGATCACAGCAAAAACCAAAACGATTTTTTTTGCATTGGTCTAATAAGATTTTAGATATCTTTTGAAATTAGGGTATTACATCGTCTCCAGCCACGGTCCGGATCGAGTCCGCATAACCCTCTCCCACAGGTACAAGAATGGGAGAGGATCGTACATTTTAGCCGTTATTTGCTACAATGGGGGTATTGTTGTACAAAGAGAAGTTAGATATGCATGTGCGCATCATGAAAATCAAGGAAATTAAACTTTTAGGGGTATGTTTAACAAGACAATATGTGAAATAAATTTACAAATGCATATTTGAGAGGGGGAAATATTGAGTTAATGTTTACTGATTTACTTAAAAACACAGTTTAATTTGATAGATTTCTTTGTCAGCAGTTTGTCATAGGGCCTGATAGGGACAGATATTATGAAATACTTTGCCTAATATCATTAACAACTCAAGTCAAATATTACTTAACATGTATAGAATTGCAAATTATAATTACGTATCTAGCACGATGTGAATTAATGGTCATACCTACATAAAACAAAATTCATGAGTCTAAACAATATATTTATTGCAATCAATTCGATTCAAGATTTACACATATCGTATTACAGTTCAGTTATGTCTAACTCGTTAGCTATGTCGCTTTTCTCCTTTTCTATCATGCACTTCCATGGACAGCAAGAAAAAAAAGCATATTCATTAACCATTTATAAGGTATACACTATCTAGATAAACACATTACTGTATAATTATTTTCATGACAAACTCGTGTTACAAGGCACCATGCATGCATATTTGATTGATCTTTCTGATAACCAAGGTGGTCTTCGCACAACATGGAATACTGGAAAATGTTAGACTTTGTCTTAATAGCATGTCGTTTATCATTTAAAGTGAATATTCAACCGCCATATATACCACGAAAAAGTGAATCATACATACGATGTGATAGGCATAATTGAAATATTGAAATTGCAATATGTTGTTCTTTGAAAAGCCCTCTTCTTCTTTCCTTGCCCGATCTGCACTTGAGGTCACTCTCTTCTGACCATTGACCGTTAGTTGACTTTTGCTCCCTGGACCCTCAAAAGGGGTTTATTATTGCAATTGCAGAAAATAATTATGAGATGCACATAATGTTTATCTTGACAGATTCTAATTACTACCCCGGCGGAAGCACTCGGCGGGAATTGTCCACTATAATTAGAAGCTGCCCGCTACAGTAATGAGATGTAATGGTCAGGCGAGGTATGCATGGATGTTGGTGCATCTGGTGCAAGGAGCTTAAATAACCCGGATAATGCAGCTGCCAAGCAAGGTGCAAATTTGCGGTGTGCGCATGCTCCAAACTAATATATCTTCTTTTAATGTAAAGAACTGTTGGTCATGCATCCATTTTATAATTATACAGTTTCTTTATTAACAGTTCTTTCATTCTATGAAATATTTTCTTTGTATCTCTTTCTTTTAAAATTTCTTTTCTTTTGTATTTTATATTCCCTCTGGTTACATCTAAAAAGGACCTTTCTCCAACATCGAACTTATTTCTCTCTCGGAAGATGCTTCCTTCTGGGTAGAAACTAGTCGAAATAATTATATCCAAGTTCTTCGCCTTTTTTCCAGGGATAAATTGCTTCGCCAGTGCTTGTAAACCTTCTAATTCAGTTGCTAATCTCCCTTGTAAATCGCCTAATTGAGTTTTTCAATTTCTTGTCATTTTCCGATTTTTCACATCGGTGATAGATGAGATCGGATCAGACAAATTACTAGATTTAATTGATTTTTACAATTTAAGTGTGACTGTTTCTATTGACATTCATTGAGCTGTGTATAAATAAGTGATTCTAGAAGGAAATAACATGAAAGGGTGATTAATATGTCTTCCCCTAACTTTAAGGAAAAAAAATATTTCGCAGGTTTCAGTAACAAAAATTAAGAAAAGATAGAGCTCTACAATTGTAAGTTCCTATTCAGCTGCATATTTAAGCAACTTTCTAATTGTGCTACATGTATAATACGATGTCTCTTTGATTTAAAGGGGGGGGGGGCTTAACGACTTTTTGCAAAAGATATATTTAACATATAGGCACTGAAAATTGGGGCTTATACCTTTTTTGTTGGTTTAGCCCCCCCCCCACCCCCACCCCCACCCCCTTATATAAATTGCTTCCAACGTCTAAGCGATAAGAGAAGCATTAGAAGGCTACTTTGTCAACCATTTATAGATCAGTATATCATAAATATTTACGTACATCCACTAAATATATTAAATTCCTTTTATTGTTGATTTTTTAAAACAAATAATTCCTATAAGAAAACCATTGTCATCAATGACAATGCTAGTGAACATATACATGTATATGTATCACCTCTGAAGACTTTATGAACTTTGCAAGGCTGTTACATCGATTAATGAAACATACCATCACATAAATACATGTACATATCGACAAATTGTTTCAAAATTTTCGGCTTCTATATACCTTTATATCCTACTTTTAAATGATATTTGAACAGTTAAATTAAAAATATGCAAACAATGAAATGCAGCAAGTAGTACCATTTTGAAAGGGACAGTCCGCAGAGAAAAAAAAAATTAACTTACCTGAGAAAAAAAAACTTGACAGACAACCCCACCTCCCCTCTATGCTATGTGCATAAAACGCTTTTCTTTGTTGATAGTACTTATAGGGTGTATGGGAATTAACGTTGCAGCTTTTACAGATTTTTTTTTGCATAGGGTGCAACTATCAAGTAAAGAAAGCATTTAAATATTGCTAAAATTATGTCATGAACAAGGTTAATTAAAGAGAGAGAGAGAGAGAGAGAGAGAGAGAGAGAGAGAGAAATATTATAGTATAGTTAAAATTACGCAGTATTTAATATTATTGTGTATATTACATGTATAATAGCCCCTGACTGTTTCTCGGACAAGAAAATCGCATGATTTGATTTTTTTCTTTATCGTGCATGCAGAGATTTTAATTTAACTTTGTTATACGATCTGATTCATTTACAAATATACTCGGTTTTATCACAGAGTCCGTTCTTTCCAAAGAAAGGTGCAACTAGGTACTACGCAATACATAACACTGTCATGTAATTTTAAATTTACATATGTAACTCGGTCTTACCCAAAATATCGCGCAATTAATTAGTATTACGTGTACATGTATGATATAACAAAAAAAAAGTTAGATCTAAATACAGACACAGACTTATTGCATACTATACGATTCTTACAAATAGCTTCACAGATTATCGAATAATTATATAATAGCATATACATGTGTATCAATAAACCATTATACAAAATACACAAGAACAGAGCAATATTCATTGACAAGGAAAAAAGTTGATGCAACAAACAGACGAAACAAATATAAAATTAAGTTGGATTTGCTACATAAAGCAGTGTCTATATTAGGAAGATTAATGGATTGTAGCATATGAAAATCATTTACGCAAATTCTGAAAATTTCGTTAAAATTGAAAGCTACTATGTAGAACTTCCCGTGATTTCTATAGTTAAAAAACCCAAGATTTACTAATATTATAGAGTCATCTCTCTTTGATTTCCCGAATATAGTTATGCTTTGTGAAACAAAGGCGGATCCAGCACCAGCGAAGCCGGGTGTGCCCTCCCCCCCCCCTCCCCCCCTTCGCGATTGAATTTTCTTTTTTTTTCTACTGCCATCCCCCTCCCCCATTATGAAATGCCTGGATCCCCCGCTGTGAAAAATCTGTATAAATACCTATATATAAGTGTAAAAAATAATTCAATTTTATTAACTTAAAAAAATGAATTTGAGGTAGATGGCAGAACAATATAACTTTTGTTCCCAGTTCTTTTTACACAGTTACATGTATGACTTGTATATTTTTTATAGAAAGAAGTTGAATTTTTTTAAAAGTTCATGCATTCATTATGTAGCGCAGCTGCAACTGATTACCGGGTCCTTCTACGTGTAACTAACTAATTAGTAAATTTGCAAGATGAAAAATTAGCAGTTTTATTTTCTTCATAGAGCGAGGAAAGACAACTGCGTGTATTTTTGATCTGTTTCCTATCGGGATCGGAATTCAACAAATAATTCGCTTCCGGAAAGCGTCGGGCTTTGTTGCCTGCAAGAACTTACAGAAAAAGCATTTTCTAGCTCTCTGCAATATTGTTAAAATTAGAAATAGTTGAAACAACATTAAGATGGAAGAAAAGAAGCGATCACCAACAGAGGAAGATAACGATGAAGAGGGAAGACGCTCTAGTCGGAGGAAGAAAGCAAAGGTTCGTTCCGAAAATCCTCAATGTAAAATTAGCCAGAATACTGTGAAATCACTAATTTTCGTGGGGTTTAATTTTCGGTTTTCGTAACTTTTATGTCCACCACGAAATGTAAATTTTCATATGCACAACTACTAAAAAGTTCATCCACGAAATCAAATCCCCACGAACCAACATTTTTTCTTCAAACCACGAAAACTTGACCCCACGAAAATATGTGATTTTACAGTAATGAATAACTTTAAAGGTGTGACACTTTCCTTGAACCATTCCCCCCTCCGTTAAACAGGTTGGACACAGTTCCTTTTTCGGGGAAGTATTACTATAAAAGGGAACTGTTACTCTTTTCAGTAATAAAAAACATTACTCAAATCGGGAATTTTTGTCTTATTTTTTAAATAATGCCTCTAATCCATTTATTAAATAAAAAGTACATAAAAAATACGATGTAATGTGTTTAATCTTTATCAAACAAACCTCGCTGACTGAAAAATTCGGTCCTTCAGTGCTGCAGACAAGAGTAAGATGAGATTTAATCATTTTCCCTGTTGATGAATGGTACTATGGAATCTAATAAGGACATTCATTCTTAAACCATTTTAAAAGAATGTCGTTTGAAATTTAATATTTCAAGTAATTATTTTCATCTGTAAAAGAAGCAATGGTATTTAAAATTATCATTACAATTTCATTTAAAGAAAAATAATTTAAAATTAAATTAGAATGAATAATCTCTTGAACGAGTTAGCAAGTGCTGAACGTATCCATTATCACAATTTTAACACAGGTAAACTTCCATAAGAAATCTATACCATAGAAATATTTCACCACTCCTTTTCAGCTTTTTGCAGCAATAACTATTGCAGTTTTGAGCACACATACACTTAATAGACAATAAATATTTAGAGGATGTGAAAATATCCTTGCACTTTATCTTTTATTCAAAATAAACACGAGAATAGAGGCTAAACGAGTGAAAATTCCCGAATTGAGTAATGTTTTTATTACTGAAAAGAGTAATAGTTCCTTTTTATAGTAATACTTCCCCGAAAAAGGAACTGTGCCCAACCTGTTAAAGATATTTTTTATTCGGGAAAGAGCATTTAAACTGCCTTTAAACAAAAAGGAGATTTATGAAGCTTGCAATAGGCTAGGTTACTTGATTTTTTTTTAATAAAGAAAATGATAATTCATTAATTGTGTTGAAGGTTGAATACAAGGAATCAGAAGAGCAAGTTACCACTGTCTCAGATGGAGAAATGGAATCAGATGAGGAGAAGAAAGAGAAAGACAAAGACACAAAAGTTCAGGAGGAAAAGAAACCTCCACCGCAACAACAGCCAGCTCCTGCCCCTACAAAGACTGACCCCGAGCCAGAGCCAGAAAACGACAGCGAAAATGATGACCCCACAGGTACACAAAAAATTATATTAAAAAAAGCACAAACAAACACACTAAAATTTGATTCGTTGAAAGTAATGCAAAATGGATTTTTCATGGCTATGCTTGTTTAATAACTGCAGAAAAAAATCCACTTTATGTTACTAAATTGTACCTGATGATGCTTAAATGGAAATGTTCCATCAGTTTTAAGATTACAAATGTTGAAACAATTAAAATGCATAATAATGATTTTATTTTTAATGTGTAGTATATATTTCAGGTATCACTATATGCAGTACATGAAAATCCTGGTAATTACCGTATAAGTGGAAATTTTAGCAAGATACAAATTTAGCGATTTCAGAATCTACCCAAAATCTGGTATTTTATTTTTAGCGAGAAGCAATTTTAGCGATTTTTAAATGCTTACTAAAGTAGCTATTACAAATAATATTTTAATTTTTAATGTGTATATATATTTTAGCGATGTCAGCACCCTTGCTAATAATGCCAAAATTAAATCCTCGCTAAAAATTCTACTTATACGGTGCTTATTTGTATCACCGGAATATTTATTTTAATTGTTTATTTGCGCAGGTTTAGAAGGAGCAGCATTTCAAAGCAGAGTTCCATTTGACAAAATGACATCACAGGAAGCAGCCTGTTTTCCAGATATTTTACAAGGGCCACCCCAGTCCCAAAAAGTCTTTTTACATCTTAGGAATAGAATTGTAAGTCTTCAAGCATCTCAAAGAGACAGTATAATATAGAATCCTGTCTCCTGAAGCATCTCAAAGATACAATAAAAATTAGAATCTAGCTCCTCTTCATCATTTGTGTCATCTAAATTTAAATCCCTGTGACATATTAGGAAGATACTTTAAATAACTAAATAATTATCTTTGCATCCTTGGGAGCTATTGTAAAACATCTTTTTTTTTCTCTGGAAGAAAATTCTGTGTCTTGTTAATATAACATATCAATGAACAGATCTGTATTGTAAATTTTCTGAGTTCAAAACATTTTTTATGATATCATTTGTGTGTAGGAGTAGTCCATCCTGTTTTTATTTCTCCATTTAGCTTCAATTATGGCTTGAAAATCCTAAACAGCAGTTGACATTTGAGGTAGCTCTTCCACAGATTGAGGCCCCATATAACAGTAAGTCTGATTGAGTTAAAGAGGTTCTTTTAGAAATCGCTCTCTAATTCATGGGGTATGTCAGGGCATCAGCAATAGTTGGAAATGTGGAATTATTTGCATAACGGATGATAATTGGAAATGTTTTTAATATGAAAAGAAAGGATACGAGCAGGTTTTTCTGTAGTATTATGTAGGAAATTAAAGTATATATTATTGTTTATGTTTGCATGAAGAAAAATTTTATGTTTTCTTTATGCCACAACCTTGAAGTTTTTATATTGTAACAAAGGTGATGGACCGCTGGTAATGAGAGTACACACGTACCTAGAGAGATTCGGCTATATCAACTTTGGAGTATTCAAGAGAATAAAACCATTACCAGGTATGATATGAGATTTTAAGGATATCACTAAATAAGAGAATGAAAAAAGACAACACATTATAAAAATAATATGGATATAAACTGATAAAAATTTCAGAAAATTTCAGAAGCAGGTGTACTGTTTTTTTATTTTTGTATCACTCAGCTTGACGAAAATACTGTTAACCAACTTTTATCAATCTGCAGGAAATATCTGAAAGTTTGTTGATTCTTACTTCCAAATACTTTTTGCTATGAAATATTTACATGCATTCCAATGTGTATTTATGATAAATAATTTCAAAGTCACAAAGTCTAGTTGTCATTAATAGAACTTACACTTTCAAATTGCTAATTAAAGATGTTGCAAATAATAACTGGTTTGCGGTAACAATATCTGAAAGTGCAATTTAATTAACTAACTTGCAGTTAAAAAACATGGTAAAGTGATAATTATTGGGGCTGGGATAGCAGGGCTGACTGCAGCCAGACAGCTGATGGCTTTTGGAATGGATGTCACAATACTTGAAGCCCGTGTAAGTAGACATTTCTTTGTAGATCTAAAGAGAGTTCTGCTTTTAAATCTGAAAATCTCATAATTTCGAAAAATCTTGTTATGTTATAAAGAAAAGAGATACAACTGAAAGTTGTCGCTATCTTTTGTGTTTCCTTTTGCTGGGTCCATCTTGATAATGAAGTTAATTTTCTTATATAAAAAGTAGAAGAATTCTGACAAAGAAAATGTGTGATGCATTAATTGTATTTGTTTTAGCAAGCTATATTTTGCAGCTTTCTCACTGAAAAACCTCTCTATAGTTCAACATTAAAAGTAAATGCATTCTTGGTGACAGAAAAACTCACTTGCTAAATTGTACTACATCCCTGTATTTTCAGTAAAAGTCAACTACTTGCATAATTTTAGCTGTGAGATAGAAAAGGATGACCAAACGTAAAAAGAGAAACACATATTCATGTCAAATGCCTTCAATGTGATAAAATACTGGTACACATATTACATGATTGTATGTAAATCTTTTTAACCACAGGACCGTGTTGGAGGTAGAGTAGCCACCTTCAGGAAGAATAACTATGTGGCAGACCTTGGGGCCATGGTGGTTACTGGACTTGGTAAGTGTAACATTGAACAGTTGAAAATCATCCCTAGTTTTAATGAGCACCTTAATACTGAACATTAAGAGTACAAATTGATTATTTTCTTCTGAATTAAATTATTAATATTTCTTAATGTAACGGCTCCCTGGATTAATGTTTGTTAATTACTTGTACATATCTTTGACATATTTACATATTTACTTGGAACCAGGTGGAAATCCAATGACCATACTGAGCAGACAGATTAACATGGAGCTACATAAAATTAAACAGAAATGTCCCTTATATGAGACCAGTGGGAGCACAGTGAGTACACCTTTATGTCCATATATGGAAAGCTTTGTTCATGCACATCTTCAAAGGATATTCCTATTAGTACATGTGTATATGAGAGACGTAGGTGTGAATGAAAAAGGCATAGGAAGGAAATTTTAAACCATCTTTCAGAAGGAGAAAATATTTTTAAATATTTTATTTAGATGTTAAAGGATCTAAAGCTAGTCTCAATACAAATTAGTAAGTGGACTAGCAATTAAAATTCAACAAATTATATGAGTGGTTGTGTTGTACTTGTAGGTCCCAAAAGATAAAGATGAGATGGTAGAAAGGGAATTCAACAGATTACTAGAGGCCACATCTTACCTCTCTCATCAGATGGACTTTAACTTTGTCAACAATAAACCTGCCTCATTAGGACAAGCCCTGGAGGCAGTCATCAAGTAAGATTTTGTCTTAGGAAATAACTTTAACAATTTTTGAAAGAAAAAAAAATGTTAAGATATTCATAGGGTCTCTATTTTATTATGAAAAAAAAATGTTAATTAAAGGAAAGCAAGAGAGATAGAGAGAGATGAAATGAAAAAAAATCTTTTTAGGCTATTTAAATTTAATTCTCTGGTTCTCAGGCCAATTTTCTCCAAAACAGATGCAAGAGGGAAGCATTTTTCTTATCATTTTATTGGCAATAAAGTAGATGAGGGAGGTATTTTTTTTATTTTAATTTTCGAATTTTCTTTAACATAAAGATAATTTTTTTTAAATCACAGATATACTTTCCATGTCTGATCAAAAGTTCTGCTTTATCCATTGCTTATCAGCGTGTGAACAACGTAGGCAATGTCTTTGAATGTACAGCCTACTCCGGATATATTGAAATTCAGGGGACCAAACAAATTCTTTCAATATATCCGAAATTCAATATAAGCGAAATCGTGAAGCCGCCATTTTTTTTTTTATTAAAAGTTCAATCCCGATCTTTAAATAAAGAACAAACCCGAACAAATTAATTTTATCATCGTTTACCTATAACAGTGTGCAGATTACATGGAATACTAGTCCTTGAAAGTTTAAATAAAATTGTTTCTTTCTGTTGCATTGATAAGACAATCTTCAACCTCATTATTATTCCCCAGTTGCATTTATTTACGTTTTGGAGAAAAATCACCGATCTTAAACTGTTGAGTACTGCTGATCGCTGCATGTATTTGATCGTAAGTGTACTCGGGTTAATCTCGTAGCTATTTCGAATTTAGGCTTATCAATAGCCTTTACCAGTACGTATTTAATTTCAAAGATAAGTTTATTTCTAGATCTGTGGGGGTTACTAAATTGCATTTAGCCTCTGAGCGAATACATCTGTATGACATGTATAATACATTTAACATTGAATAATTTTATTGCGTCAGAGAATGCATTATAAAAACACATAAGATGAAAACTTAATTATTCACACCTTTGTATATCAACTGGTCAGTCAGGCATGATTTCAGTCACCAACTGTAACAACAGCCATCAGGGATCGAGTACTTCAATATAGCCATTAAGAAAACAACTCATTATCACCTGTGGGGACCGAACATTGACTTCAATATAAGCGAAATTTCAATATAGCCGATTTCAATATAATCATTTTTTAATGCAAAGAATATGAGAGTCAAAAACAGGGGATTTATTTTTATTTCAAAATAAGTGGAATTTCAAAATAAACGAGTTCAATTTAAGTGGAGTAAGCTGTATTTTCAGACGAAGTAGCCAATATCTCTTTGAAAATGGCTACTTGAAGTGATATTTGAATACTAAACTACAAAAAAATGAGGACAGAACTTTTTTTTCCGGATTGGTCTCTGCAATACCAATCTTTTATTTTATCAAAAATACAATAAAATTAGCAATGGAGCTACCTCAAAACGGATGCGCGCAGGCCTGAGAACCAGAATTTCAATTCTATGTAGCCTTATGCTAGCAACTTATTAACTTGTTGATAATTGTTTGTAAATTATGTTTAGGAAATATATGAGTCAAACCTCCTAAAGTTACTTCTACAAGACAGTGGGTTACATTGCATGACTAAGATTGGATTCTATTTATGTTATAGCCATTATTAAATGTAAACTTATATTATTAATAAGAGTTATATCTCTTTTTATGCACAACATGATGAATGCATTTAAAAGTTCTTGAAAGTTATCTCCCTATGTCAACAAACCTAATATTTTCTCACCATGTCCTTTGTAATATGCATACCGGTATATACATGTATTTATAATATGCCCCCCTTCGAAGAAGGGAGGGCATATTGCTTTGCTGCTGTCTATCGGTCTGTCGGTCCACCATCAGTTTCCGTTCATTTTCTTTGCAGAGGGTGCACATATTAAAATGAAATTTTGTATACAGATTTATCATAAAAATATCCAGGTCAAGTTTTGTTTTGATTACGATGGAGCCATTTTGGACAGAGTTATGCCCCTTGGACTTGGAAAAATTCCAATTTTTTTTTGGTAGGGGGGATGGGGGCATAAGTGTTTTACAAACATCTCTTGTTTCAAATGCTTTTGGACAATTTTGTACCACACCTTTATTGACTCATAGATTTTATGTGTGAATCCCCAACCCTATATGTTGGTATTAATGTTATAGAGGGTAATAAACGGTAGCTTATAGGATGATCTGCCCAGATTGACCATGCAAAGGGAAATGTGAGTTGATCTGATCATGATTGAATATCTATACAGAATGCAGGAGAAACATGTTAAAGAGAAGCAGTGTGAGCATCAGAAGCATATTTTAGAGCTACAGGAAAAACTGAAAAAGAACCAGACCTCAGTAAGTGCAGGACAAAGCTTAATTAATTAACGATTAGCGTCAAGTTACTGTGGCTGTTGGCTGAAGGAAGAATTAGAGCATGTAGTAGATTCATAAAGAATGCTGGTGTAAAAATGTCATATTCCATTTTTGCATGTATTTGAATTACTAAAAAATATACTCATTTGTTAAAAACATGTTAATCATTGCAACATAACATGTATTTGAGCTAGATTGTCTAACATATTAGTTATTGTTGATCACCATGATAATACCTCATTTTCTTGAGATAGTTTCCCTGGTACTTAATATAAGTGAGACAAAATTTTCATAAATTTTCATCATTGTTTATATATTGTATAATTTTTCATTAATAATACAATATAATCAAGAATGATTTTTTTTTAAATGAAAGGGTGGATATAATTAAGCAAAAAAAAAAGCTTGCAACTAAAAAGTATTTTAAAGTAGCTGACTAAATTGTTAAAGTATTAAACTAATATAAAGATCTTTTTGCCAAAGAAAATTTGTTCCTGTTTCATGGATTCACATGTTGCCCTTATACAAGATTACTGTATTTGAAATGGAGAACTTTATTCTTGTTACAGATGTTGTCCCTGAAAGACAAGGTAGAAGAACTACACAAACAATGGAAGGAAGCCTCAGAGGTCAAACCACCAAGGGACATAACTGCCGAGTTCTTGGTCAAGAGCAAACTTAGAGATCTCAATGCTGCCTGTAAAGTAAGGATCTTTATTATTTGTTAAAGTCAAAACCATATTTCTATCATTAATTATAAAGGGGTTCAGTTAAGAAAAAGCTTTGTCAGATATTGAATTACATGTCATTTTTTTTTTTATAAATAAATGTGAGTTTTTTTACACTGTAAATTGAGTTTGAAAAATGCACATTGTTAGTAAATTGAAAATATTTGGTTTTTTTTTAAATATTAAAGGTAGTAGTTAAAATACATTAAGGCATGGTTTGAGTAATTTGTTATCTTGTGTCTGTTTTAGATACTTTACATATTGATTAAATAGATGAATGTAAGGTAGCTTTTCTAAAAAAAATATATATTTATGTCTTGTAGGAGTATGAACAGCTACATACACAGCAGAAAGAAATTGAGGATAAACTCCACGAGATGGAGACTTCATCACCAAGGTAAACAAATGTCACAAAATTCCGCAAGGGGACTTTGGCATGAATATACATGTTCTGATTCTATTTATATTTGTATTTTATACCCAGGTACACAGTAAAACGACACCTCTTTTCCTTAAAATATGTGTGTCTATATAATTTTCAAGACGTTTCCTAGCTCTATTTATCCTGTTTTACTGTTGTACATGTATGTGTTTGTGTTTCCTTGCATTCTTATTTTCTCTACTTATCAGTTATTTGTAGTTTATTAATTTATGATTGTTTTGACTGGATTCTTTAGTACATGTAACTTCTTACTTTTAATCAATTATTAGTGAATGATGACTTCCTGCCTGTTATTCCGAGTCAACACTTTTGTTTGACTCTATTTAGGATGTAGAATAAACTCCAAACTTCCCACATATAATATTGAACATGACCTTGACTATTGACCTTAATACAGGTCAGTTAAGCACATTTAATTTAACCATATATTTAATACATAAAATCAAATTATGAGTACTTCACAATCCAGCCATATTGTTTTTAATAGCAATCTGTTCATTATAAATGTTCAGTGTTCGTGTTCAATGTTCATGTTTGCTGCAGTGAATAAAGTTCAGGCAGCTCCACTAATTCTCCATAGATTTGGTTGCAGTGATGTTTACCTGTCATCGCGTGACAGACAGATCCTGGACTGGCACTTTGCCAACCTTGAGTTTGCCAATGCCACACCCCTTTCTCTCCTGTCACTCAAACACTGGGACCAGGATGACGACTTTGAATTTTCTGGAAGTCACTTAACAGGTAATATGTACATGTAATTCTATCATTTGAATTCTGAATTTTGAAAATTAAAATGTTACAATAAGTGAGCTGGTAAAATAAAAGATTTACATTTTTTTTGATACGAGGGTATGATCAAATGTTACAGTAAAACTCGGTTATAGCGAAGTCGTAGGGACCCGTGAATTTAATTCGCTATATCCGTAATTCATTATATCCATATAACGAATTCGAATAAGTTTATTTGGCGAATTCGTAATAAGCGTGTTTTCCTTTAAGTATTATTACCAAATATGTTTGGGAAGCAATAATTACAAAACATACCTTGGATTACTAAGGTTTTCGCTATGAATTGAATTTCATTTGCAAATTTTTACTAAAAATAAAGTCAATTTAATATATCTAATTTTGAGATTTTTGAAAAATCGTTATAAAAGATGTAAATTTCATTATTTTTAACCTCTGCGGGCAAAAAAATCGGTTTGCTATATCCGTAAATTCGCTATATCAGAGTTCATTATAACCGTAAAAATTTACAAAGAATTGTTAAGAATTTTGCCGGGGACCAAGAAAAGCTTCACTTTAACCGTGAATTCGCTATATCCGTGTTCGTACTATTAAATGAGTTTTACTGTATGTGAGTAATTTGTGAATGTGCCTCATAGAAAGGAGAAAGTCACTGAAGGACAACTCTGAGTATCATGTAGGTCATCCCCCCACTTCTCCTACCCCCTTCCCACACACGACCAATCCCATCGCTGCTTCTACTAGAGCATGTGGAGGGAAGTTGTATTGAACTTGCTATTCTCTTCCTTTTGTAATATATGTACTTAGATTTTTTTGTTGAAAAGTATATAAAAAATTCTTTTTTCTCTTCTTAATTTTTTGAAAGTAAAAAAAAAAAATTGAAATTGTTTCGAAGGTTGCCTACGTGATATATATCACTAAGTTTCAGTTTGAAATAAAAGTAAACATGTAAGTGCTCTCTTGGGTTTCAAATTACAGTTTTTATGACACTTTAGACATAGTCTTATTTTTGCAGTACAGGAAGGCATTAGTTTTAAATATTGACAAGTTCTTTTTTTTTAATAAAAAAGAGAAAAGAAAACTTGCCAAAAACATTTAATGGCAACTAAAGGGTTTTTAAAGGAAAAAAGAAGACAATTGCAACAGAAGTTTTTTTTGAAAAAAGAGAAATCCTGAGTTATGTAGGTGAAATAAAGCTAAAAAAAAGAATTGGCAAATATTTATCTGAAATAAAAAACCACACCCTAGTAAATCTGCTAGATATATGTGAACCACTCTACTGTTTTGTCAGAGAATTCCTACATTTTGTTGACAATAGTTCCTTTCATTTATATGTTTTCAAGGCCATTGGTTCTTGAATTGCGCTAAGCATTGGAGCCATGCATCTTTCTCTGGAAAGTTACTTGACACCTTTTCACAATTGTCTGATTCTATTGCATAATCTGCAGTTGTAAACATTATAAAAATACTTTTTCCTTTGAATTATTTCATGTTCTTGTTATGTCTAGTTGTCTGTTGTTGTTTTCTAGAAGAAAAGAAAAATAATTTTTTTTTTAGCTTTATTGCTTACTTTTCTGCCCTCACCAGATCTCTCTTCAAAAGTAATGCGTTTTTCTTTTAAAGATATTGCTTTGATTTCTCATTGTTATTATTTTTAAAAAGAGTTATTGCACCTGGTTTGTAAGAAGTGTGGAAGGGATGTCAAATGTTTGATCTCTTTGTTAGGTTCTTAATTTGTCCATTTGATTGAGTATAATTTCCAAGTGTTATATTTTCAACTTCATTATCAAGGATATCTCATTTAAAAATAAATTTACCAAGCTCATGTGTTTGTGGAAATTCAAGAGATGAATTGTGGGAAAAAGCAAAATAAATATGACTCAGACAATACATGCATTATCTATAGGCAAATGATTAATGTTTCATTCATCATTTCAAAGATGTAGGTATATCATC